TGGTTTGAGGTAAAACAGAACCGATTTTCTCTTCAATAATTTTACTTTTCAGCTAAGACTCTTCTAAGTAACTGAACTCTGAAATTCACAGTATATTTTTCTGACACTGTCTGCTCTCAGAGTGATAAGACCTAATTGTTTAGAATTTATGCCAAGGAATGGTATGCAGAGAGGCTCTTGCTTATACTTATTGCTGTAATACCCAAGGCCAGCTAACTTTGTTATTTGCCCCGTTGGAGGGTTGGAAGTGGAAAAGCGTAGAGGGGAGGAACAGACAGGACAGGCGACCCAAAACTGACCCACAGGGTATTCCACCCCATCTGCCTCATGCTCAGTATAGAAGCTGAGGGATCAAAGGGTCAGCCCTCTTTCTTCAATGGCCGGCGTCTGAGGCAGACTCTGTCTGTTTGTCTGTCTTTGATACCGATCTGTGCATTCCTGAATCCAGATCCAGAATCTAGTTCCCATCCATCACTGAGTACAGTCTGGGACTTTCCCAGTGCCAGCCAGTGACATGACTGTCATCCTGGAAGCTTGATATAGTTTTGTATATATTGTGTGTATTTCATTGTTTTCTTTTTGTTATTTTATTATTATTTTCATTAGTTTAGTTTCTTTTTTAAACTCGTAAGTTTCTTTTCTCTCTCATTCTTCTCTCCCTGAAGGGAGATGGTCTCCCTTCTCTGAAGGGGCAAGAAGTAAAAGAGAGCATCTGTTGTTCATTTCAGTGGCCAGTCCAGCCCAAACCATGACAAATGTCTTGCTCAAAAAATGTAATGCAGATAAACGGTGGTCTCCACATTACCAAGGTGTACTCAGTAGACAGTCTGGTAATGGCATCTTTGCTTCTTGGAAAGAAGATAACCCACATATTCCAAATGTTATTTTCAAGTCAATAGTTTTCTCTTTTTTACTCATTTTAATGGAAAAAAAAAAAAAAGAAGTCAGTATTACTATATTTCTTGTAACTGTTTCTGTTTTGATAAAAATTGCAGAAAATACCATTTTAATTCCCTAAAGTTTAGAATTTCATTTTGTTGGCCACTTTTTTGTGCTTTTGTACTACTTACTTAGCTGGCAAGACAATATTAATGTCTGTCTCTTACTGCATTCTCTGCTGCATTACTGTAAGGCACGGAAATGCTTTCTCCTTGTGCTGGCTGGGAGCTGACACGTGGAAGTCACACAGGAGCTGATGATGGACCAGGAGCTCAGGTCTCACTTTTGCAACTTCAGGGCTAATGCTGTTATCATTAAGCCAATTTTACTTTCCTCAGAACAGCTTTTACTCCTTTTACTGTTCCAGCTTTTTGGAAACATTGAAAACAGGAATAATAAAGTCCCTAGATTTATCATAATATTTTCTTTCCATTTCAAATTTAGAAATTTCCTCTGAGATTATGCTGCTTGAGGTACATAGAAGATAGTGTGCTGGATTAATTATTTTCATTGTTCACTCAAATTTGAAGAGTTTGATTAATACTGGTAATAAAACTAGCTTGCTGTAAAGCAAAGCATTGATATGGGGATCATACTGCTCATACAGTTCAGCATGTTCCACTGTGCTGTTGGGAGGAGAGGACAGAGAAGTACACTCAAAATTTGGAAAAATATCTAATTCTTCTTTGCAAGTTTTCTGGTGATGTCTGTCAAACAAACTGCTAAAGATTTGAATGCCCTGTTCACCCTTGCATTGTTGCTGTACACAAACCACCCTTCCCATCACATGCCTTGCCGTGCAACCCTGAAAGTCACTTCAAAGGAGTTAGGCAGTAAGGGAGGAGTACAGGTTTCTGCCTCTCTTACAGGGTTTAAACCGGCTAACAGAGGCAAAGAACAAAAGTGATTTTTCAGTAATAATAATAATAATCTGTTGTTTATACTTGTAATTTCAGATTCTGAAGAAATAATCTTACTGCATAATTTCTTCATTCTGTATTAGAATTGTATGCACTGGGCTAACAAGCAAGGAGACAGTAGAGCACAAAATCACAACAGAAATGAAGAAAGTCCATGGAGGTTTCAAGTGATCCTCTTGCCAATAGAAGTCTATTTCTTAGTCCATATTATATCTGGTTTATCTTTAAATGGTTCAGTTGATGGCGTTCCTGCCACTTCCATGGGGAAGCTATTTCATTCCGACTGTTAGGCAACATTTCCAGAGATTTATACTAAATTTTCCTCTGCTTGGCTGCCTTTCATTACCCCTACTTAAAACAACAAGACAGTCCATCCATGGCAAGTCCTTTCCTTCCAAAAGATTTCACTCTTCTCTCTATGACTGCCAGGATTGCTATGTGAGGTCTGGGGTTTCCTCTCTTGCTCCTAGGTCCCTGTTGTGCCACATTTGTTCACTCACTGCCACATTTTTCATGTTTGAATTGCAAGGGAGGGCAGCTACTCCAGCACATCACTGCTGTTCAGCAGCAAAAGCTGAAGCCCTTACGTAGGCTGCACACATGTTCTTTTTATCTTTTTTCATAATTTAAACTATTCACCTTTTTTTTTTTTTCCTTAATTCCCTCCAGTTTGTTGACATCTGTCTGGTTCTCAGGTGTCCAAGACAGAACAGTATATGAGTGCAGCTTTGCCACAGCTGTTTTATGGAGGAACTGTCAGCTTGGTTGAGGGACCTGAGGCTTTCTAGTACAGAGTCTCACTCCACAGTAGCTTTAAGAGCAGCTGTGAAAGCTTATACCTGATTATTCTCTTCCCCCCCCGCCCCCCTCCCCCGGTCTTTTGAGTAATTTTGGCTTCCAGATTATCTCTTATTATTATATTGAATACTGAATCCAACAGTGGTGTGTCTGAAGTTTGCAGAACTCCTGTTAAAAATATTAATCGCTCCTGATTTCAAAATTCTGATTCTCTTCCACTGTTCTTTTCAGAAGTGTTCTCCTTGACCGTGTGTAAATAGAGGTGTTCGTATGTAACTGCGTGTGTGTGAGGAAGTTGGTATGATAATGTGCTTACAAAATCCTGGCATTGTTATTTTCTAGGTATTTGGTGCTAGAACACGTGTCAGGTGGGGAGCTCTTCGACTATCTCGTAAAAAAAGGAAGATTGACACCAAAAGAAGCCAGGAAGTTCTTCCGACAAATCATCTCTGCTTTAGACTTCTGCCATAGTCATTCAATATGGTAAGTGCAACCATTTCCAACGGGAGTTACCTGTTACATAAAAGCACAGAACAAAGGGATCTTATTTCTTGGTACTTTTACTTACTGTTAGGTAACTGATGTTGTAAAGCTCTAAAAGCATTGTGTAAAGTGCTGACGTATTTTTTAATTCTTGGCTGTCTATGAGACATTGCGCCAGTCACAGATAGACTTTTCATGGAGATTGTCCATCATTTCTTGCTGGATGAGAATTTATTCACAGGGAATGCTTTAACCAGGAAAACCAAAACCACCAAGGAAGAGCAGTTTAATTTCCATTAGCATTTGCTAATAATGAAGTGTTACATACACTATATCAAAATGAATCCCTGAAGAAACTTGGGAAAGTTACAAATACAGCAAAGTCATTTTATGGCTTCCTTCAGTTTTTGGAAACCTGCTGGCATTTGGCAACCTTCACGGAGTCCCTTCTGGGTATTTGAGTCACTGTTCCCTTTAATTTCCTTTCCAGTAGGGAAGAATTTTCTTGATCTAACTGCTATTGATACTCACTAACTCCATTATATGATTTAACCATCAAGTGTGGTTTAACCTGGGCTTTCAGGTGATGTTTTAAATTGGACCAGTTTCTCCTTCATCTTCAGAAAGTTTAGGCGATTTAAATTATACTGAAATCAAGCTGTTATAATCAGGCTGAGCACAGAATTTCTGTACAGCTGCTGACCTATAACTACCTGCTTATTTCTCAGAAATGCATCTCCTTGCAGTTAGATTGGCTGGGGGAGACCATTTACATTATGTCTGCCTGGCTGCTTCTGCGTAGCCACAGACAGCTGAAGATCCCCCCCTCCAGGAGGCCAAGGGCCGCTGATAGATACTGCAGTAGTTGGATTTGCACAATCACTGTGTGGTTACTTCTCAGTAACTGTACAGTGATTTTCTGTACCCCCAGTTTTGTGTTGAGAACTCGCAAACCAGACATCCATGGCATAAATGGCCACAGCAAAAAAGAATGCCTAAGTATTTAACTTGCCCTTCTAGCCCCCTCCCTCTACATCTCTGACTCATTTCAACAGGAAATATTAATCTGAAAAAGAGCATATTTCTAATACATGGAAAGGGAAATGAGAGCCTTTTTGAGGATATATTAAGAACACTATACTGTTAGCAGGAGAGGCAGTTCAAAGTGGTGGATCAGGGTGAGAAGATCCTGAGGACAATGCCTACCTGGCACAGGCAGGGTTACAATAGTCAGAGAAATTCTGAGAGTAGCCGAGAGCCGATTGCAGGCCCTAACTAGAGGATCTAAGTTTTCTCTGTTGGCAGAGACTTCTGACAAATTTTATTCTGCAAATTTCACGATTTTTCCTTCCTGCTAAACAACTGGTTTGAGTGATCGTGATCTTCTTACAATCAGCATAATCCTTGGTAGGTTGTAGAGCTGTTATTTTTTAGGTACACTGGGCAGTGTAACCACTGGTGGATTGCATACATACATGTTTCTGTTCCCTACTTGGCTTAACACTTAGAGACCTGATCCAAGAAGACTCAAAAATGTTTAAGTACAACTGAAGAGAAATTATTTACTCTTCCAAATGAGTATTCCAGAGAAATATGAATCTCCGTTGGGATAGAAGTTTCTATGAAAGCATGCATATAAACACATACATACTGGTCCTTTGGGCTTGTGATGGATACCTCTTGATATGGAAGACTTTAATAAACTGAGGATCATGGTGACACTGTCAGACAGACGAGCACCTCTGCAGGTTTAACGATATGTGGAATTTCCAAGGCAGAGTGCATGTCTCTCTTGAGGAATCCATTTTCCTCTGTTAAACATATTGGATTGTGGGCAGTAGTCTTATTTAGAAGTAAATCCCCTGTCTCCTTGCCAACTCCCACTCAACTAGCATCTAGTGCTGAATAAGTTAACAGTAAATCATAAGATCTCCCTCCCTCCAAGTCACTCTGAGATTTGTGTGGTTTGTGGTATATTAGACACTGTGTTGTATTCTGGACAGTTATCATTAAACCCTTTTTGAAAATCAGAGCATGCATAAATATATGTGTGTGCGCGTGTGTGAGTATAAAAGTTAATGTGCTTTCCTAAGCAATGAAGCCTGACCTTGTCCTGTCGTGGGGCAGTGAAATGACAAATCATCTCATCAACCAGGTTATCCAGTTATGACCACTTTGAAAAATGAAGGCTTCTGCTTTGGTTAATGACTAAATGTGGGAGAATAGATTGATAGCCTGGTGTCCCCAGCCCCGTATCATTGTCCCATCTTCTTCCTGTACCTCCCAAGACACTGTGAAATATCGGTGGCTTACTTTCACAGCAGTATGTAACCTCATTCAGCTTTCACTGCTCAAAATGTATTGATGCACCAGGATTCCCGGATCAAAGAATCAGAAAGGATTCCCCAATCCTGCCGTCAGTAAAAGGCTTCTGCTGCTACTGTGTGGAGACATCACTTGCGTCTGAGAGGTGTTTTCAAACAAGCAGCTCAGACAAAGAAGCAGAATAGGCTTAGAGCTTGACTCTGGTTGTGAGTTTTTTTAAAGAAGTATGAGCTTTCTGTTCTTATTTGATGGAAACAGTAGGGGAAGATTTGGTGTACCTCACTCTGAGTTGCGGTCACTTAAGGGGTTTTGTGGTACAGGTTGGCCATGGGGGAAAGCTTGCACTGTAGGGTTCTTTAAGGACTTTTCCATGTACACCGTGCCATTCTAGGAACCCACAGGCAATCATGGGTGCGAACAGACAGCACCATGCAGAGGTATAATATGGGATCCTGCAAACAGTGTATCTGTGTTACCTTGCTCTTTTGCCTGAGCTGACAAACGGAGCTGTTAGCTCAGTGATGCAGCATTATTGCTTCTGCTTCCAGCTCTTCCTCTGTGCTAGCTCCGAGGGCTCTGCACCACGCTGCAGTGCCCAGAGCAGACACGCTCAGCAGTGGTGCAAGAAATGGCAGAGGAACCTGGCGTTCCTCGGACATCAGTGTAAGACCATCCTAGCCTAGGAATTTTTCTTTTGATATAACTGATGGGTTTTTTTCCTAAGCTATCATTCACCTAGTGCTGGGTGTCTGCTCTCCTAAATTCAGGGCCTTTAAGATATCTCTGCTGGGTGCCCCAAATCAATAGTCCCTTTTGAATATCCTGCCTCTGTACCGCTCTCAGCTACTTCAGTGCCAGCTATATTTTCTGTCGGAAACGATGTAGGAGCACGTCTCGGGGTAGGTTGCAAATCCTTGCTTTCCCCAGGAAGCGTCTCCTTTATCTCTAGCGAGGGGATGCTGCAGCGCCCACGGAGGGTGGGAGCCGGGCGAGGAGAGCTGGCGGGCGCCTCATTGGCTGGCTGTGACATCACCGGCAGGAGCTGGGATTGGCGGCGTGCGTATTTTGTGTGTGTGTTGGGTTTTTCGCTTTGGTCAAGCTCATATTTGGTGTCTGTATCTCACGAGCTGACAAATAAAAATATGATTACAGAAAATGCCCCGTGGCAAACCTTATTATGGCTTCAGAGATAACAGATAATGCCAATTACTGCACAGGGCAGTGGTGACATTGAGAGGAAATCCCCTGCGGTAATGAGCAGCAAGATGATTATTTCACTTTATTTTTATTTTGGTTGGGTTTCATTTTGTGTTTTTCTCCCGAGCATGCACAAGAGGGGGTTAAGGCAGGTTCTTTATGAATATTGATAAATGACAATTATGAGGGCCCTTTCTCCTTTCATTGCCTGGGGCTGTGCCTGCTTGAGTAGAGGCAGGGCTCTTGCTGAAGTGTGTCTGTGTGTGCATGCGTAGGCATGGGGGTGTGTGACTTAGAGGGCTGAGGCAATGAATAAGAGCTTTGTTTGACTTTGCCTTGTGTTCTTCCCGTCAGTGCGGGCGGGGGGAAAGGCTCCTTATAAAATAACACTTCAAGATTTCACAGCAGTAGTGCCAAAATCTCTGGTATATTCCTGCAGGCAGGAGCTGCAGAGCACTGTCAGTAAAGAAAGCACGCTTTTAGGGAGATGTCTGGGGTGTCTTAGAGAAACAGAGAAAGCTGAAGAATGCCATGTACCATGTTCTCTCAGATAGTACCACCCCCCTGGTGACTCCTGCTCTGTCTTGCTTCATTTATAAGGAGCACGCTACAGCGTTCTGCAGGGATAGTCTGTCGAACACTTAAGGCTGCAGCAGCTGGACAGTTTGAAATCATGACTCAAGGCCTCCAAATGTGAAACTAGTCTAGAAATTGTGGAATTTAATAAGGTTGGTTTCTGGGTTGGTTTTTTTCAGGTCCTTGAGTCTTTAGATTTTCAAGTTTTCTTTCAGGCCATCAGAAGTGAGGAAGGTAGCTTTTTCCCCTGTTGAGAGCTGAGATTCACCAATCATTGCCTGAACCCAGAAGTTTCAGATCTGTGATTGAGACTCACTCTAAAACACTCTAAACTTTTCGAATTTCCCTTGTAAAGAGAACCAGAGGAAACCCATCAAGTGCAGCAGCTGCAATGCCAAAGGCAAAGTTACCAGCTCAGCTAAAGTCAGAGGACATGTATTTTTGTAAGTTTATTTCTTTATATAAGCCACTGGAAGCTCACAAATGGCATAGTCTTATTGTCAGTGTAACCAGGTAACATTCTTTGGCAAGTACAGCAGTGGTGATCAGACCTGACAGTCTGTTCTGGCTTTGAAATATGTGAATATATATTTTGAGGCAAGGTTGGTAGGGAGGAGCAATATATTTTAATAGATAAACGGAAATAATTGTTGAAAAGCCTTGCATACAAGCCCTTCTCCAGGTCTCCTGGTATGTTTATAAATGTTGTCCTTTTGACTAGCTATAACTACATTTATTTGTTCTGCAGAATTCTCTGAAAACTTACTAAATTTGAGCATAGCAACCGTGGCTCTAAACAAAGATTCTTCTGTAGGTAGATACAAGTTACATGTTCAGATCTGATTTGCAGAAGCAAGAGAAAATAAGATAAAAGGCTTTTTCTGCTCAAGAAAATTAAGAAT